GATCCTCTATGATTCTCAGCAGCTTTTTTTCCCCCATTTTCATTTGATGCATCAGGATCACTTCACAGCAGGTAAGTCCTCCTGGGAACCCGCAGACCTATATTCAAGCACACATGGGTCATCCCAGCTAGCCAGGTAGCCAAGGCACCACCTCTCTCCCCAGCACCCTTCACCCTTTTCAAGGCATCCACAAACCCATCCCCATGGTCACCTTGGGGCATGGAAAAAGGGAAAGTAGGGGGATGGAGATCTGTTTCCCAGAAAGCCACAGGCATATTGAGCAGTGGCTCACTCATGCCAAGAGGAAGAAAGTCATCTGAATGAGTCCTTCTAGGCCCACACGATGAGACATTGAGGGCAGCAAAGTCCCAGGCTGGTGGTGATAAGTTCTAAATAAAGGTATCCGGCTCCTCCTCCTCCATGGGGAGATGGATATGGAACTTTGAGTAGCCAGGGATCAGTTAGGGCTCCACCTCAGGCAGTGGTCTGCAGCCTGTGGTTTGCAGAGCTAACAGGAGACCAAAGAAGTTCTTGAGGACAAGCAAAGTTATGGCTGAGGAACAGCACTGGCAGAGAGAGCTGGGTATCTACAGTACTTCTGAGACCCCTGGAGGAAAACCTTGAGTAGGAGCTGATCAGCTGGAGCTGCCACTGTGACTGGGTCTCTCACACACCCAGCAGCCTGGATGACTCACACAGGACAAGCTGGTATTTAAAAAGGCTTCATTCACAGAGATCAAAATAAACAAACTAAATCAGTCAGGAGAAAGAGTTGAAGTGGAAAAACATCCCAATAATTGGGTCCTCTTTGCAAATGTTTTACCAGCTGTCAACCTCTGACCCCAGCCCCTAAACACTGCCAAGCAAAAAGACAGCTTCACGGTTTCTCCTGTAAAACACAAACGGACAGGATCAGAGCTCCACAGACCTTCACCTGTAACAACTGGGAAAACCTCAGTGGTGCTGCGAAGAAGAGAGGAGAGTTTGGCAACTGTTTCTGTAGTGGATTTAGGACAAAGCCAGAGAAGGCAGGCAGAGGATGTGGATGAAGTGTTTGCTCTTCCACGGAAGATAAAACACATGGTTCACAGGTCCAGATAGCAGACATTTAAAACATGCCAAAGTCCTGGCTGACAAGCTGTCCACACCTCAAAGGGTGATGATGTCTGGCCAGCTGGAGATGCTACAAAGCCCCAGGAGAGACAGCAGCCTGTACCTGCCAATATTCAAATGGGTAAATGGCTGACTGGGGTAAGCACAGGCTGGTCAGGTGAAGACAGAGGCAGGGCAACTAAATGGATGGCTGCAGCCAGACCAGATCACCAGGAAGCAAAGGAGACTGGGATAATTAATTCCAACTAACACACATTTACAGCTGTCAGATCCTGTTGGCAAATGTGATCTACTTTTGTGGGAATTGCAGGCTCGACCGATAAATCAACCAGCACCCATGCCACTCATTCAAACTCTGAGATGATGTTTTTTAATCAAGAAACTACAACTCCATTAAAGGGCAGTGGCACACGTTTGAGGCCACTGTTGGCTGGCTCCAAATAAGCCTATGGCCCAGGGGTCCACCGAAGGGAACAAGATCTCCACCAGAGACCTGTGCACCACAGCAAACAGACCACTGATGAAATAAAGTATCCATTTGTGCTACTGACAAGTTAGAGGCTTACAGGGGAATAACCTGCTTCCAGAGCTATCAGAAAGGATTCCCACCAGGGAAGAGCTTTGCAGGAGCTCTACTTTGCACCTGGGAGCAGGGACTGCCGGGTTTGACTGGCAGCCCTGGGACAGCAGCGCATACCTGCCCTGCAGCAGGGAGAGTTAACAGCAGGAGCTATTAGGGAAGAAATGCTTCCAAGGGACACTTAAATAACCCCAGCCCATGCCTTAAATAACCGACACTTGGAACAACGAGCCAGCAGGCTCCCCTGGGTTTCTCCAAAGGCAATTCCAGCCAGCAAGTCACTGCTGCTGCCAGCCTGCGTTCCCAGGGGAAGGATGTCATCTTACCTGCCAGGGACAGCTGCAGCCATTTCCCCACAGTTCCCAAAAGCCGTGGCTACACCCAAGGAGTCACAGAAATGCCACCTCCTGAGCCCCACAAGAGCCAGGGCATGAACCTACATGCTGCAAGGGCAGCCAGATTGCAACACCATCTCCCCTTCCATCTCCAGCAAAAGAAGACTCCACCATCCTGTTTATTTTTTCTAATTATTGTTATGAATTTTCTTTTTCATTTTCCCTTTCCCTCCCAAAGTAGCAGCAGAGTGGGACACACTGAGCCCAGGTGGCTGAAAGCTGGCACCACTGTACCAGCATTGCTCGGGAAACCTGAGCTACAAGCAGTCCCAGCAGCTTGTGCTTCAACTCCAGCATTGCACCAGTGAGTCCAGAGGGAGCCACCTTCCTCCTCTGCACCCACCAGCCTTCAGTCTCAGAAGCCAGATGTCCCCAACAGTTAACCTCAGGGGATGTCATAGGAAGGGTGCTGGAGGGACACCCACCATGGGATTTCCTCCAGCTCTGCTCCAGAGTCCCCCAGTGCCTCTCACAGTCCTGCTCCCATCAGCCAGTCCCCAAACACTCAGCTCACTCGTCCCCTCCAGTCCCCTTCTCCTCCCCTATTTCTCAGCATCTCCAAAGCTTTCTCCACCCTCCTTCCCCACCTTCCACCCCTCTCCCTGCTTCCTCCACCTTCATCTCCGTCCCCTGCTTTCCCACAAACTCCTTCCTATGACTAGGCAGCCACACCATCCTCCCTCTACTTCAGCTAATTCCCTCTCTCCAAGGAAGCTGGCATTTCATCTCTGCCACTGATCCCCTTTTCATGCCTCCTGGCTTTTGCCATCCCACCCCTTCTCTCCCTGCTGCCACAGGGACTGGGAGGCAGGGGGGACCCACACTCAGCACGCCTGACCCCAGGCTCTCATTAACAGCGCCCTTCTCAAAGCCAGCACAGCGTGAAATAAATAAATAAATAAATAAATAAAGCAAATCTCTGTCTCACTGCTGTCTAGGGTTGCTTAAGGGAGCCGGGCGCTGGGGGTGGGATGAAGGATGCTATTTGGAGAAGCTGTCTCCATGGCAACCCCCATTCTCACCACCGAGCGGGCACAGGTCACCTGTTTCCATGAAAGTTTCTCCCCCTCCCTCCCCATCCCTTCACCCTGGGAAGTGCCAGCTCAGCCCCAGGGGTGTAGGCAGTCTGGCAGAAGTGTCAGGAACGCTGCTAGTGTGGCTGCAACAGCCTCCAAAGCCCCCAAGCCATGCTGGAGGAAGCCAGGGCATATCCACGTTTCAGGGCACCAGTGGCATCCACTCCCCTCAGCCCCACACTAACAAGGCAACGTCATCATCTCCCTGCCTGTGTCCCCACAGTCAGTTTAACATGGGCAGGGTGTCTGCAGGACTTGGGGACAGATGTGGGCAAACACCCTGACACAAGCACGAGCTGTTGGGACTGGGACAGAGATCAAAATTCATCCCCTCCCACCGCATGCAGCCCTGGGTGCTGAGTTTCCGTATGATTTCAGTTATTTATTTTAATTCACCACTGGCCACTCCCATTAAAGGCTGCCAGGTGCTCCCAGGACAACCCGCGGTTCCCTTTTTGGCTCTAACCACTCCATCCTTCCTGCAACAGACGTGCTTGCCGGGACCTTTCCCCACGCGAAGCAGCGTCAGCCCCGCGTCGCCCAGCGCTCCAGCAGCCAGCCTGGTGCTCCCGCCCACACCTCCCTGCCCTGCCCACCTGCAGGGCTGCCTTCACCCCCAGCACTAAGACAGCCGGCAGAGCTCCAGCAAGAGATGGAGGGAAGAGAACAAGGAACTGGTTCTGCTCTCCACCAGCTCTCTAGCACGGTGGGGGGACACCAGCACCGGCTGTCTCACCCACAGCCAGTGTTAACGCACCTTCTGCTGGTACCTGCAGGCAGCTGCCTGTGGCCAGGGCAGGCAAGAGGGTCAGCAAAGAGCCTCCAGCTGAAGTTCTGGGGTTGGCACCCGGGCAGCCATCCTGCAGCACAGAGTGGTGCTGGAGGGAATCACACGGTTCCCCCACAGGGCTGGGAGTTTTGCCAGGAAAAGCAAGTTTATAAATAGTGTGTTTCAATACGAACAAATGAAAGCGGCAGAATCTGACAGTCAGATAAGGAAGGAGATGAGCACCAGCCCCTCCCCAGCATCCTTCACCTCCAGGAAGGATGGTTCCTTTCCTTCATCACCCAGCTAGCCAGGATCATACTTGCCTGGAAATAAAGCCTGGATCTGGAGGTGTCTGTCAGATGTGCTATTTGGGAACACTGGTGCTGCAGCTGGTCTGACAGCCAGAGCCATGCAGCAGAGCTGGCTTCAAAGAGAGCAGAAGCTATGGGAATGGCCACCTGCTCTGCTCAGGGGTGAGGGCCAGCACAGCAAGGTACTCTGCAGGATGGAGATTAAAGGGCTAACAGAAAGTAGTGCTCCACAGCCAGCTGCCCACCCAGGACCAAGGGTCACAAATTCCAATGCACTGCTTGAAACTAGAGTTTTCATAAGCCCACAGGCCAGAAACTTTCTAACTTCTTCTCCCGCCCTTGCAGAAGACAGCTGCCCCATGGGTGAGGCTGGCACTTGGAACAGAAGCTTGATGTCACCGAGGCATTACACCGAAGGGGCACATACCTGCCAGATCCTAACAACAGGCAATACACTCAAGGGGAAAACCAGCTTTTATCTCTGTGTTAAGGAGAAGAGCAGCAAGTCATCAGATGAGAACTTGCTTCTCGTAAACACAAAACAGCAGAAATGACACCCCTGCGCCTAAGGAGAGAATGGAAGGACATGCCTGCTGGGGAACTACCTGCCAGATTGGAAAAGGAGATCTTGATGGTAGTGCCCAAGGGAAGACATCAAGAGATGACACGTCAGAGCAGCCAGATCAGCTGTCAGCAAGAGAAGCCTCTGACAGTTCACCAAACATGTGCAATGCTCTTCACGCCACACTTGCTTACCTTGATGTAGGTGTCAAGGGCTGGGTGGACACGGTTGACTGCTAAGTGGATGGACAACGGTGTGGTGAATGGGAAGGTCGCCATGACTACGTGGCTGGGAGCAGGGAAGGAGAAGATCTTGAAGCCATACTTCAGGAACCTCTTGATCTGCTCTTCTGACGGCTTTGCGTCCCCCTCACTCAGGATTCGGCCGATGGCAAAGCGGCACTTCTCCGGAGACACCTGGTTGAGGGGGACAGGCAGACAGCATCAGAAGAAGAGAAAGGCTGAAGACCAGCCAAAACCTCAATCTACTGAGCATGACTGTGCACACCAAACCAGGTGCCCCCTCCTAACCAAGACTGATCCAGTCCAAATCCATCCATGCTCCTCCTGGCCCAAGCTCACAGTCTGGTGGGGAAGGTACTGCTCCTCTCCTTGGAGGGCAGAGGGGCTTGCAGCAGAGAGCTAAACCTCACCAGACTGCTCACCAAAACCACTGCAGTGACAGCCACTGTAGAAAGTTTCTCTCCTGACCCCCTCACCAAAGATCCAACTGTTGAGACATGCTCGCCATTGTCCCCATCTGCAGGACATCCTGATGGCTCTGGAGAAGCTAAGAAGAGATGTGACCACAACCTGCCTGGCTTGTCTCTATCCCACCCCCAAGCAGGTCAACCTGCAGGGGCATCTGTCCCCAGCAGCCACCTGGACATGTGTCCCACCAGCCCAAGCCACCGGCACTAAGCTGGAGGGAAATCCAGAGGCTGCTGGGTCACTGCTAAGTGACCACACTCAGTCAGGTGCAGTTTCAGTCACATAAGACTTGCATGCAGTCACCAAGCAGTGTAGTAACATGAAAAGGAACATATCCCCTTCCCTTAAACACACTTTTGTTGTTGGATGGCAGGACCCTCCCGGCAGTGAAACAGGCAGATGTCAGGAAGGAAATAAAAGGAACACTGTCAGCAGCAGCCGCAGCCATCAGGCCCGGTTGCCTGACAGCTCGCTCTTGCCCTCCTGTGCTGCAAGAGGGAGCTGCAGATGGGGCTGTGCCCGGCATCGCTGCTGCGGAGCAGGGACTGAGAACGCCCACCCCAAGAAGAGCAAGAGGCAGCAGAAAAAGTCATTCATGGGAAAAGGCCCAGATGAAGCAAGGATAAGGGAAATCTAGATAAAATGCCTTTACACATGCAATCTCCATTTATGTAGTGAGCAAAGATAGTTTCATTCTCGTCCCCAGAGCAACTGTTGGAAGGACCTGAGCTGTGGAGCAGGCAGAACCACTCCGGACAGGAGCATTTGCTTCCTCCCTTCACCTTTTAACCTTATTTTTCTAGCACACAGCCCCGCAGGCACTTTCTCAAGGGCAGCAGCAAGGCAAATTTTCTTCCTCTCCTGCCTGGCAAAGCCCATCTCATAGGAAGGAAGGAAATACTCTGGTTAAAACCAGCCTTTCCTTAACAACTTAATCACTTCAGGGTGGCCAAGTGCTGATCAAAGCCTCTGCTCCCTCAAGCTCTCCAGTGGAGAAGTTTGAGAAACGGTTAAACCATTAATCTACAGCTTTGCCTATGAAGGCATCCAGAAAGTGTTTTGGCCTCATCCATCCAATGCTTGGGCACAGACTGGTGGCTGAGCACGGGACCACGTGGACTGCAGGCAAAAGGCCCTACACGTGCCCACAGCTAAATGTGAGCAGAAGCGCTTGGCTGGAGCTGAGCACAAACCCGCCTGCCACATCCAGTCCTTGCTGAGGAGTTATTTTTGTTCCTGCCAGAGGTGGGAGAAGGAGGGAGAAGTCCTCTGGGCTGCTAAATATTAAATAAAAGAGAAAAAGGGGGGAAAAAGTGCAAATTAATATTAATCTTGTCCATTAAAACACATAAAACATTACTGGCAGGGATTCAGGAGCAATCGTGGAGCATCCTTGTGTGAACACTCGAGAGCCAGGAGGCAGCAAGGAGCCCTGAGGATGCTGGGGATGGTGGCTGCCCTGAGGCCTGGCATAACCCCATGGCAGCCCACATGCTCCAGACAATGGGACTCCCCCTGGCCCCACTCCTGGCCAGGAGCTGGCACATGGTTGCCACCTTCCAGCTCCAGCAGCCCTGTCCTCTCTTCTCACAAGAGCCTCATTTGGCCATAAGCCCATCAGCACAGCAAATGCTTCTGCAGCACCTGCTGGTCATCAGCCTCTTGGTGCCACAGTGCCAGGGGCCAGAACCCTTAGGAGCTGGTGGTCAAGAGCCACTCGAGGGGGGGTGTCCAGCCAGAGCCAGCTGGCGCTCTGCCAGGGACGCGGCAGGACATAGAGGGCAGCCAGCACGTTCTGCTGCCTGATGACAAAAGCTCTATTTTTGGTGACAAGTCAACACCCACGGTGGGTGGCCAGCTCCGGGTGGAGCAGTCTCTCAAGAGGGTGCTTCACTGAGGTCAGGAGAGCACCGAGGAGGAAGAGGAGGAGGTCACCTCTTCTGGGCAGCATCCTCCCAGGGGAGAGGCAACCTGAGAGATGGACTCCACCCCACTGGACCTCCAGGAACAAGGAGCCTGCAGCACACACCATCTTCCACTCCCATGCTGTCATGGCCTCAGCAGCTGCAAGCACACAGGTACACCCCATGGGACACCAGGTTGCTCAGCACCTGAGCCAGCACAGCAGGCACGAGCACTGCAGCCTACAGCCAGGTGACCCACCCAACACTGGCCCCTTCTTTACTGGCCCAGAGGCAAGGCAGCCCTCTGCCCAAGGGTATCTATCCTCACTCCCAGCACCCTGCCTGACCTGGCCTGCATGTCAGTGATATGCCGATCTCTGCAGGAACCAATTGAGGAACACAAATCCACCTGGAAAAGGTCCCACCAGCACAACAGCTGCTCCAGCAGATCCAGGCCTGATGTTGTTGACAAGAAGAGGCTCCTGCCTGCTGCATCAGCACAGCAAATGCTTCTGCAGCACCTGCTGGTCATCAGCCTCTTGGTGCCACAGTGCCAGGGGCCAGAACCCTTAGGAGCTGGTGGTCAAGAGCCACTCGAGGGGGGGTGTCCAGCCAGAGCCAGCTGGCGCTCCGCCAGGGACGCGGCAGGACATAGAGGGCAGCCAGCACGTTCTGCTGCCTGATGACAAAAGCTCTATTTTTGGTGACAAGTCAACACCCACGGTGGGTGGCCAGCTCCGGGTGGAGCAGTCTCTCAAGAGGGTGCTTCACTGAGGTCAGGAGAGCACCGAGGAGGAAGAGGAGGAGGTCACCTCTTCTGGGCAGCATCCTCCCAGGGGAGAGGCAACCTGAGAGATGGACTCCACCCCACTGGACCTCCAGGAACAAGGAGCCTGCAGCACACACCATCTTCCACTCCCATGCTGTCATGGCCTCAGCAGCTGCAAGCACACAGGTACACCCCATGGGACACCAGGTTGCTCAGCACCTGAGCCAGCACAGCAGGCACGAGCACTGCAGCCTACAGCCAGGTGACCCACCCAACACTGGCCCCTTCTTTACTGGCCCAGAGGCAAGGCAGCCCTCTGCCCAAGGGTATCTATCCTCACTCCCAGCACCCTGCCTGACCTGGCCTGCATGTCAGTGATATGCCGATCTCTGCAGGAACCAATTGAGGAACACAAATCCACCTGGAAAAGGTCCCACCAGCACAACAGCTGCTCCAGCAGATCCAGGCCTGATGTTGTTGACAAGAAGAGGCTCCTGCCTGCTGCCAGAGGCACCACAGCTACGTACAGCACAGCCCCATGAAGCCCAAGCCACAGCAGTGCCTGCAGAGGCAGGAAGCTTAGGCTGATGCCACCTGCCCAATGTCACAGGCAAATACAGCCCTTCCAGAGAAGTGCAAAGTCTGCAGGGCTGCCTGCCAAGCCCTTGAGGGCAGGTTAGAATCCCAACACAAGAACCAATCAAGCTGGGAAAGAAGGCTTCCAGATCCAGTAGCACACTCCAGTCCAGACTGGGCATCAGTGGGACAACCAGGCAGAGGTCTCAAGTGTGCCCTGACCACAGCAGCCCAAGAGCTACCTCCACCAAACAAGACCTGAAGACACAAAAATCTCCCCTAGTTGTTGACACCAGGATGAGCTCTCCTTGTCCACCAGATGCCATTCAGCCATGCTGGTAGAGAAGGCCTTCCCCTACCTGACCACCTGACTGTGAAAGGAGAAGCAGCTGGCTTCCAAAACCCTGGATGGCCACCAGAGATACAGAGACAAGTTCTGCAGCCCCACTGTCTCCTTCAACTACAGGGTGAGGGCAAAGATGCAACACATGCAGGAAGGAGAGAAGAGACAGGACCAGAATGAGGAGGCAGCTTCACCCTGCACCGACACCCCAACTTTTCAGGGTCAGGTAGAAGCCACTCCGTCCCAGCCTCACCTGGTGCTGCCAGGGAAAGTGCTTCTCGTGCCAGCCACACAGAAGTCACCACAAACATCCTTATCAGTATCTGCAGGCGACAGCAGTACAAGCTTTCACTAGCCCATGCTTCGGCAAACAGAGGCAAGGCACACTGACCAAGCAGAAAAGGTCTGCAGGGCAACCACAGCCACATCCAAATCATGTCCCTGGAGCAGGGTGGTACCAAGCATGGACACTGAGCCCTTCCAACAGCATCAACTGCCCCTCTCTGCCCCCTGACACCGGGGGAAGAAGCAGCAGCACCAGGGTTCTCAGCCCCAGAAAAGGACTTCAACACAAGGACTCAAATGATGACCACTCTGACCATGTGGGCCCTAGCACATCAGGAACACCCTATGGCTCCCATCCCTCATGCATTCCAAACACAATACTGCTGGTGGACAAATGTGTTCAAGCACATCTAGTTGAACCCTGCCTCTGCCCAGCTCATCCTGGGGGACACAACCTCCTTTCCACTGAGGCCAGGAAGAAGAACTGCAGTGTCTCTTCTCTGCTTCCAATGATCCAGAAGGAAAAACTGGAAGGTAAAGAGAGGGCAGCTCATCACAGGATACAAAGAAACAAAGTTGTTGAGCACGCGAGGCTCCACTGAGCAGTCACCTTCAGTGTTTTCTCACCTCTGGTATCTTCCTGCCACAGTGCTCCAAGGAGACAGTCAGCACTGGCTATGCTGCCTCTAAGCAGGTCCAACCCTTGGAAGCACCACCTTGCAAGCAATTAAACACAGGCAGGTACTACACAGCCCATGAGGGCTCCTAAAGCAGGGGCAGTCAGTTCCCCAGCAGAAGCACTGGGTGAGAGCTACCAACCCAAGCACTGTGCCTCACACCAGCCTCCAACACACATGCCCAAGAACACGGCTGCTGGTCACCTCACTGTCCCTCCCCCATGGCATTCCTCCCCGGTCACACCAGCTACTGCAGAATTACAGGGGAGCCAGGCTGTCTGCCACTGACAAATGCCCACATGCTATTATCTGGAGAGCTCAGTGCCACCAAGCATCAGCAGCCAGGCTCCTCACCCCCCAGCAAGTTCTGATGCACTTCTGTTTGCTCCTTGTTCTGGACCGTACCTGGAGCAAGGTTAGATGGCTAGCAACCATCAGGCAGTGCACTCTCTGCTCACCTTTCAGCCCGATGAACACCATGAAGTAACTGTTTCATCAGACAAGGGCCGTCAGCACACACCACCTGAGGTTTCAGAAAGAACTCTCAGGGGATGTAAGGACTACAGGGAAGTTCAGAAATACATAAGAGTACGAGCATGTATGAGGACAAAGAGAGCTGAAAAGACCATCTGTTTTCAACCACATCTGTTTTCAACCACGGAGCTGCAAGTCCATAAGGAACCTCAGATGCACTTCCTGCTTCCCTCTCCTTGGGATCATGGCCATTGGCCTCTGCTCCATAACCAGATCCATCGCCCTGCT